AGAATTAAATAATTTTGATCATTATAAAACAAATATTGCTGTAAGATAGTTTTTTTAAATATTATTATTAAATATTCTCTTGTAGTGTTTAAAGGATTTGAATATTCATCCTGTTCGTGTTACGCATAATTCAAGTTCATCGTTAATACGACACTTACGTTGTGTACATAAATTAAATACTTTTAAATCAAAAGAAAAACTTGTCAATCGATCAACTACAAAAGAATCTCATTACAACTGAAGAAAAAAAAATGTGATTATGCTGTTATAGTAGCTATTATTGAAGATTGTCGAAGGTTTAACGATTTTTCCAAGACAGACTTGAAAAAGTTTTTACAATTAGCTTTGTCAAGTAAGAAAATACTGATTACTATCATATATTTCCTATGTTCATCTATGTCCTATTTAGACTATACGATGCTTCATTGTAATACAATAAGTAAAAAATTAAAACGTCTTCATGCAAAACATTTCATGTCATTGATAATGAGTGATGAACAGTGGTTTATCAATAGTAACAGAAGCAGTTTTTTTTTTGTTCAAAATATAGCAGAAAAGTTCAAGATTTTTCTTCGATCAAGAGACTTTTGAATTATTCTTCAGGGTGGTCCACCTTTGGGTTCTATTGCCGTGAATATGTTAATTTTTCATTATTAAAAAGTTTTTATTGTTTTTAAAAAAAATTAAATTAAAAATCTGTTAAAGATGTTTGGAAGATTTGCTAGATTAATTCTTTTGAAAAAAAACTTTCTTAAACATTAACACTAGCTTTTTTAAAAGCTTGAATAAATTGTTGTGGATCTTGTGCTCCACTAAGTTCAATTTTATCATTAATACGAAAATGTGGAACACCAGAAATTCCATGTTCTTGACTTTGATTAATTTCTTCTCGAACTTCTTTTTTATATTTATCTGATTGAAGAAATTGTTTAATTTCATTTGGATTAAATCCAACTAGTTCAGCAGCACGAATTAAAACTTGATGATCCGATAAATCTTGTTCTTGTTCAAAATAAGCTCGAAATAAAATATTAATTAAATCATTTTGTTTTTTTTCTCCATTTTCTTGTTGTTTAGCATAATAAAGAAGACGATGTGAATCAAATGTTGAACCAACTTTTCCACCAAATGAAAATTGAATTCCTTCTTGTTTACCTGCTTCAATCATTTGTGGTAACATTTGTTTAATACGTGCTTCACCAAATTTTTGTTTATAACGATCCATCCGATGGAAGATTTGGATCTAATTCAAATGAATACCAAGATATTGATACATTTATATTCGATGTATCAATTTGAGAGAGTGCTTTTTCTAAACGACGTTTTTCCCACATAACACCATGCTAAAATACTCAATATTTATATTGATTTTTTAATCTAATTTGATTATCCTTACGACAAATATTATCACTAACAATATGAATTTTAAGTAGTTGTTTCATTGACATTCTCAATCTATAATATATAAATATATTTAAAATAAAACCCTTCATATATGCATATATATTTATTTATTTTTAACAAAACTCTGTTTTTTTTTTGTTTGATTATTTAATAAAAGTAAATCGATAACAAATATTAGTTAAATAAAAACAAACAAACAAATGTTTATTTCGTTTTATAACAATTTTAACGCTAATCCAAGAGATCATGCAGCTTCAAATTGTTGAATTTTTTTACAAATATGAATTTGTATATCTTCTGATAATCTATAACCTTTTGATAATACTGAATAAATATATGTTAAATCAAAACATAAAAAAGGATGTTTTGTTGATACTGATGATGATCCACGACAAACTTTTTTTGCTGTTTGTTTTAATACTCTTATTGGTATTGTTGTTATTGTTGATGAATGATCATCATTATCATTAACAATAAGTCCAACATCAAATGCAATATCATAAAAATATGAAAACAACATAAATTGATATTTGATCAAGACCAACAGCTGGTTGAATATTTAAACTAACATAATGATCAATAGCAGACATACATGAATAAAATCGTTCATCATTATTAATAAATTGATGAGGCTCAATTAATTTTTAACATTTGTTTGATTAATAAATATTGTTTGACGTGCAATCATTAAACCATAACCTAAATATGAACGTGAACAAAGTTTTATATCACGACGAAACATTCGAAATTGATGCATATATTTCATAATAATTTCTTCTTCAGTTAAATTTTTTTGGTTCATTTAGTTGTTTATCATGTTTAATAATTTTAACTGGTTTTATTTCTTCTAAACCAGCTTGTTCAACATCAATTCTTGACATTTGTTTCTTTTTTTTTTTTGAGTAATGGATCACGAAATGTATTGCTTTGTTCCGTTTCAATTGGTTGTTGTGCTTTTAATAATGAATTTAATTTTTCAGCTAAACTTGTATTTGATAATGATGGATTATAAGTTATTTGAGTTCAACCATCACCTAAATCGAGTGCAGCTATTCGACTCCCATAAAATTGTTCACCTTTTAAATAAACAAATGTAAGCCAAGCATCAATACCTTCTTCTGTTTCATTCATTATTGCAATATCCATTTTTGGACGATAAAATCCATATTTTTTAAATGTATTTGAAACACTTTCTAATAAAGGTTTTTGTTTTGTTTCACTTAATAATCTTAAACCAGCAGTTGCACATAATACTAATGGTGTACTTCGATGTTTAAATCGACTAACTTCTTGATCAGCTATTTTTAATAAATTATTTATTTGTTCTTCAGCTTTTCATATATATCATTCGCAAATGATGATAAACCTGGTTTAAGTTCTTTAAATATTTCATTTTTTAAAACAAATGTATCACCATTTTCATTACCAACTGATGCACGAAATTTATAAACATGTATACGTGTACCTATTCAACCAGCATCTAATACTAATACATATGTATATGGATCAAGAAAACGTAAGAATGTAAAATAAATAAAAATGTTATAAAAATAAATATAAATAATAAATTTCGTATTGAATTAGAATTTTTTTGATGATGGTGTACGACGATTAAATAATGAAATCATTTTTATTTCGATTTTGTTTTTTTTTAATCTTTGACGAATTTCTTGCTCGGACAATGCTTGTTCTTCAAAATAAGCTGTTGTGATAGTACTAGTGGCAATTGTAGACATTGGAGATATTCAGTTTTTTTTCTTCTTCTTTGCACTCGATTCAATTTAACCAATTATGAACCAATCTAATCATAAAATTTAAATGAAATTTTATTTTCATTATTGATTGAGTACTTACTCAAATAACAACAAAAAACAATTCGTCATTGAGTGATTTGTTAATTAATTTAGCCAATAAATAATTAAAATAAAAGAGAATAGTGTCATCTATATAAAAAAAATACTTTCATTCATTTTATTGTGGTTTTCAACTGGGAAAAATTAATGAATATTGATTTATTAGAAAAGATTTATGCATGGGAAGATAGCCCGAAGTTTGCTCTTTCAAAACAATATGATTTTTAATTTAATACCTCATTTTTAGCCAATATTTTTGATGATTTCGGTTGAAAAATATGCATTTTTTAGATAAAACGGAAAATGTTTTTCGTTTTTTCTCTGTTTATACATTTTTGATCGTCTGGCGAAGAATTGTCTGTCGGCATCCATTCTATATATTAAAATTTTTTTTTGTTTGAAAGAGCATGTTAAGATAGAGTGCATCACAGAGTCGTTTTTTTAAATTAAGCTTAATTTTTGTTATATATACAGACATAGACACCCATCTTTGGCGCGTTTTTGAGTCATTGAACTTGTGATCTCCTATCTCCGCTAACAAAGTAAGAATTTTAAAAAAAGAACTCTGAGGTGCCCTGCATCCAGAGATGCTCTTTCAAACAAAAACAAGAATTTAAATATATTGACAGAGCCTGAACCGAGAAATCTTGTAAGCAAAATGCGCTATTTTTTGACCCGTGTTTGGTTCCTATCTGTGTCAAACATCATGGTATAGAGCTGAAAATTTTACCATAGCGTCCTCACCACAACTCCAACATACCCTGGAAATTTCAGGGCATTTCACTTGACTTGATATGAAATTCGTTTTTTGAGGCGGAGGCCTTAATGAATATTGATCATGATAAACATCTAGCTTGACAAAAACTTTTAGCAGACAGTCGAATAGAATCGACTTCAACTATTCTATCGAAAAATGATTATGATGATTTTTGTAAAAGAAAATGAGATAATGAGTAAATAAAGCAATCAGATATTAATTACTATAAATATGAGACGAAAAACTGATTAGTCCCATATTAATGCCAACAATTTTGGAAAAGTTAAATCTTGAAAATACTATCTCAATAATAGTAGAACAAAACCTTTTAATAATTTCTAATGAATAACAAGATAAGTCCTTGGAAGTATTGTTGATAGTATCAAAAACAATATCACTGGCAGTTTGTTTAATTGATTTTGTAATTAATAGAATGAAGTAGAGGTTCTCATTGAGTAGGATATTAATTGTAAGTTTTCATAGAAGTTGTACTCTCTCACCCTTAAGAAATGTGTTGTTTTCTTATTATAATGATTTGATTTAATTTTAATTTTGAAATTATCATTTTTTTTATTGAAAGAATTTCGAACAAAAAATATTTATAATAAATGAAAATACTTATGAAAAGTTTCTGGCCAAATAAATGGTTCATTTATATGAAGTTTTTTTACTTGAATACAATTGAAACATGTTGGATCAGTAATAAAATTGTTTGTTAAAATTCTAAGTGATGTGAATGTGATGCAGAGATCTAACAAACAAGGTAAATGAGCATTTTCTTTCAAAAGAAATTGTTTAGCATAATGATAATATGAGTCAGCCAAATTGAGAAAAATAAGATGAAGAAATATAATTAATATCAACGAATTTTTCTTGTCTTTTTGTGGTATACCATTATATATAGTTAATTCTTCGACAATAGGGAAATAAGGAGAGACGAATATGAAAAACTGATGTTCGAAAGGACTTCCAATATCATTCATTGTTAAACGTCGAACTTTATCAAATATGCCATCTTGAAAATGATAAGAATTGCGTTGAGACCAAAAAAATGTTTGAATTGATATGGAAATGAATAAATATGACAATCGCCCTTACAATGAGACATGCTCTTCAATGGTTGAGTACAGACATATGAACCAACTTGACCATATCCTCTTCCAATAAAACTATTTTGAATATCTTCATTAGATGAAAGATGAATTTTAATCCGTTCCATGATAACTCCTGTATGTATACTGAAAGTAAATTTTTTTAATCGTGGCAAATAAATAAGAATATCACTATGTAATTGAATGCCATCAATATAATCTGAATCAATTTGTATGAGGAACAGAAATAATATCAATGCTTCAAGATTTACCATTCAACGAAGTAATGAAATAATATGAATCTCATATATATATATATATATATGCGTGATTATTCAAAGTTAATGAGAAGTATTTCAATTTAGGAAGATGTTTCTACAAAAAAAATAACATCAGCAACGGTTTTTTTTTCGAAAACATATTTGCTACTTGAAAATGACAATAAAATTGTCGAAACGTCGTAGGATGTTCGAAAACTAATTAAAATCTTTTATTTAATTACAGGCTGCTGTTAATAAGTTTTTTCTTTGAATTCAGTTCTCACCCATGAATCAGTATAATTTCTTTTTTTATATGGGTATGTTGTCTATATAAATCTATTAGTCATCAATGCTATATCTATCAAATAATCTGTTGAATGAAATAGGCAAATATCAAGTTCGATTTATATTGCACCTTCTTTTAGTGGACAGAGCACATGTCTGATGTATATAGAGTTCATATTATAACACAATTTACCAATGATTCGTTTTCACAACAAACAATATCTGTGCAAATAAATATCTGATGTTCTAACGAGATCTATTGGCGTATTATTTTTAGTTTTTCAATAATTATATCAAATATACAAAAGACAATAAAAACGCTGCAAATTTAGATCATTATTGTCCTATCAAAAAAACCCCATCTATTGATATTTTTAGCCTTTTGTGGAATCCGCATACATTTTCGAAGAAAATAATAGTGAGTGGACGTTTAAATCAAGGTTTCTGCAGCTGTCTCTTCCATCACATTAGAGCTTTCTTTAAATTTAAATGACTGAAATACATTTTTCAATGTTGAAAATAACGTCATTTCGGATTTTTGTTTAGATAAATCATTATATGATAGATCTCAAAGATAGCTTTTTGATTTCCCGCAACTGTCATATGACAAATACAAAAGCATGACCGGATAAAGTTCTAGCTTTTGAGAATAATCAATATCAGTCTTTTTTGAGTTCGTCAAGATATATAATCGATCGTTAAGATCTGTTGTAGATATAACGAATGTGTACAACAGACGTACTTTTCCATTTAAGTCAATGGTTAAACTAATAATAATAATAATAAATTATGAAAAGAAAATAAACACTCTGCAAATAGTAACAAGACATAGAAATAAAAATAAAATTTCTAGTTGAAATGTAAAAATAAAAAGAACAGAGCATTTTGCTGACAATCGATTATCATTGGAAAAGAACTATGGTCTTTTAGGGATTTTACACATTGCATATTTTTTGTATTAGTATAATGAAGCTAAATAAGACATGTAAATTTCACATTTCAGTTCCAAAGAGGCTGCATTAATAAGCTTTTCTATTTGAAATTATGTCATGAAATCAACGGTGTAGGTGTAAATATGAATCTTCTTTTCACTCACGCCTACACCCATTTAATATTATTTAATTGACTATCAATTAATAAGTTCAAGATTTATTTTAAATTAAGATAAACAATCTACTCTTAAAATAATTTTTATATTTGTAGAACAATATGCCAAATGACTACACATTGTCACTCAATTTTGATTACGATATCATATTTCTATAACATATAACTTAGTCAAGTTTTAAACATCTTCAATCATTACTTTCACTTGATTGGAAAAGGAAATGAAAGAAATAGCGTGTGTGTATTGTATATGCGCAGAATAACTATGATTGCTATACTTTCGCATAGCACGATACATTATTAAAAATCTCTTATTGATGACGTACGTCATACAGAAAACAATAATTATTGGCGTTGTTGTCGATTGTTGCTAGTAGCTATGAAGAAAAATAGAATTGCCACACAAGCAATTTATTTTATTTTTATTTTTTTAGTTTTCTAAAGAATGTCAATCATCAACATTTTTATCGATTGTTACAAGTAAAATGGGTGCAGGTTGTTGCTGTTGTTCTAAGAAAAATCAACGTATATCATCTGAATATCGTTCAATACCTCAATATACTCCAATTGGCATGAAAACAAATGATCCTCTAATACTCATTGATGGTTATCTTGATGAACCAATTCTGTCTCTCGAAGAAGCTCTTGAACCATTCTATGGTGAAATTAATCATTTATCTCATTATATTAAAGAAGCTAAAACGCAATGTCACTATCCATCAGAACATAATCTTACTCTTGATGAATCAGCTGCTATCTATATCTATACAATGCAATGGAATGATAGTTGTCTTTATGATCATTTACAAACAGCATTAAATTCTAATGATCGATCAACAATCGAACCATGGTTCGCATATCTCAAATTATTTAAAAATGCACTCGATAAATTACCTACTGTAAAGGCGGAAGTTTGGCAAGGAGAACCATTCGACGAAGAACTTAAAGAACAACTTAATTCAAAGTCATTACCATTTTATACTTCTCTGTGCTCATGTTCACTGTCGATCAATGAAATTAAAAAATATGGACAACAAACTATGGGTAAAAAAATAATTCTTGTTGGTTACCAATCTGTAAATGGAAAACTGGTGACTGATTATACAGCTAATGACTTAGACGAAGCGATAGTTTGGCCAGGCATAAAGCTGGGAATATCAAAATATATTGTGACTGATGCTTATCATTTATGGGTTCTAAATCCAGTAAGACAAATCGGTAAGTATTAATATAGTTGAAATCTTAACAGTGTTCATACTTTCTACTTTTCTGTACTCATTCCATAATTTGTTATTCTTTTCTTCTTTGCCATTGAGAGAATTGATTTTTTTTTCATTTTCTCTATTTATATGTAAATTATATTTAGATCATTCTCCTGGATCGATGAAGAATGCCAATATTGCATCTCAAAAACATTTCAAGTGTCCATATAAAAGTTGTGACAATCGTTGTCCTGGTAATCATAAGACTGATTACTGTCGTGGTTTTGTTGCTCCTATGCATAGCTGTCAGCATCATTGTATACATGATCAATTCTGTGACGAGTGTGGTCAACTGTATTCTCACTTATATAAATGTAATAGATGTGAAGGTCGTTATTGTGTTGAATGTTGTTTTAAATAAATAGTAGTGAAATTGCGCAACTATTGCAATAATATCAAATAATATTTGAGGAAAAAAGAATCATTAGAAAATGAATTGATATTAAGTATAGACGAAATTTGATTTAGTTGACATTAGAATACTCTCACAATATGAACGAATCTTTCATTTTAGTCATGAATCAGATAAAATACAATTTATTATAATCAAAAATGATAATAGAATAATTTTATATACCTATTCGAAGTAATAATAAACAGACTATGATTATACTTACATAATGTGAAATACTTATTTAATATTCATTCATATGTCAAATGCATGCGATAGCAATAGAGAGCTGTGGATTCTTTCACACCAGGGCTCAGTGGAATCCGAGCTCACCTTATTGTGGACTCGTAGTTCTCTAGATAGAAGTAAAATTAACAATGCTCTATCTTTAACAGTAGATTTCAAAATTAGAAAACCATCGTACTAAAAGCGAAAAAGTTGGTATATCAGCATCAGTAACGAAAACTAATGATACTGGTTTCTATGACGATGGCTTCCTTATAAAATATTAGGTTTTTAGCAACATCAAACACAAAGCATACGTTTTCGAAAAAAATGCAGATCCGAACGAAAAGATTGGAATAGCTGATTGAAGTTTACGAACAATAGAGCCATTGCCAGGTACGATGATACTATTAAGCCCTCCTCAAAAATGTTCAGTCCTATATCATTATGTTTTCGAAAGATATGTAACAAACAAAAGTCAAAAATATCTCATTTGACAACTCAAAATTCTCTGTGAACCTTCATTCTCCAGACTTGATATTTTTCTTTTTGTTCGAAAGAGTATATCAGGATAAAGAGCATGACGAAGCTGTTTTTTTTTAACTCATACTTTTCAAGGGCAGAGTAGGAATGGAAAGTTGAAAAACCCTTAAAAAATGATGTTCTAATCATAAAAGTACACTCTTATCCTTCGAGAATGCGAGGATATGCGATTAAAAAAACATAAATCGAGAAAAATCGAAAGAAATTTTTCTATAAGCAGTATATTTTTCAAGTAAGAAATGGCCAAAATCATTAAGAATTTTTGAAAAAGAAATGATATATCAAATAAAAAAGTCATATCATTTTTTGAAACAGCAGGTTTTGGAGTATCTTTCCATACGCTTATCTCAATTTTCATGTTTTTGATGAACCTCTAATTTGGGGTGTGGGTATGAATCTTCTTTTCAATCACACTCACACGTATATTTTTCTTCATTATCAATTGTTATATGTTTAAAAATTGTATATAATTTTTTTTCACGATTAATATCATATTTTCTACCTGAATGAATATGTTAATCATTACAAAACTATTAAATTAGTTTTATTTATGCGATTAACAATACATTTAAGTATTAATGTTTAATCTTCAAGATTGTAATGTTTGAAGAAGTTCAATTTCAAGATCATTCTCCGAAATGTGAAGATTTCAAAAAATACATGCTGCACAGTCTACATATTTCTCAAATAATTTTAATGATGACCTTATAAAAAATTTAAGATAGAGTTATCTTTGCGTCTCGAATTAGAGTCCATCGAATGGATTCTAACCAGGCGTTGGATCTACTCGAGGGTGGGTGTGGGTGGGTGTGAGTGTGAGGTGTGGTAACTTCTTTCCCGACAGTCACACCCAAATCCACCCACACCCATATTATAATCATTATGGCTGCATTTAACTGTTTACCTGTTAAAAATTGATGTTGTCCAGGATCAGCAATTGTTGGTATAACAGGACGAGCATAATTCTTTTTGATATAAGGATAGAAGCTACGTATTGCCTGCCTGTAAATACTGATGATTCTCCCAAAACTGTTGATGGAACTAAAATTAAATAATGGTAGATATTTCTTAGAAATATTGCAATAGCACATACCCATCAGAACCAATATACTTGTCCATCTCTAAAATCACCGAGAACTCGTAGTTGTTTTTTACCTAAAATTTTAAAGAATAACATTTTGTAGCGTATTGGATTACTACTCACAGGATCGATGGAAAACGAAGCTCCACAATTAAAAAAACTGTTAAAAACAATATTTTGTTTTTCATATTGAATGTAGTAGCGTCCATTCCACTCCTGCCATGGAAGAACTTCCGAAAGTTTCAAAAATAAATTAAATAAATAATGTAAAAGCATCCAATTTTCATTACCCTATCTCTATATTTCACAAGAACTTTATTGTTGATCATAGTCCAGTGAGAAATAACAATCAGCTGTCCATTTAAAGTTCGACAATGATCTGCATACAAATTCATCAGGTAATCTAAGAATTGGTATTTGAATATCTCCATAATGAATATATTCCAAAATCAATTGGTTATAAAAATTTTTTTACCAATTAATATGGAGTATTTAACTAATGAACAAATTGAAATTTTTGTTATTCAAATAAGTTTTGTCACTTTTCTAATTGTAGAACTTCAAATTATATATTTATCTAAAAGAGAAATCATTTTTAATTCAAATGAATCATAACATATGCAAATCTAAGGAATATTTAAATGTCTAAGAAAATTATTTTTGAATTCGTTATTTTAGATATATGTTAATAACGATTTGGATTATTTTTATAAAATAAAGTGAATTTTGAAGGATTTTATTTATTTCCTGTTAGGTCAACGTTTGTGATGATGTTATAATAGAATATAAAGGGGTTTTACCTTGATGGCCAAAGGTAACGTGATCAGCTAAGGGGGGGATGGGTGTGGGTGTGGGTGTGGGTATGCGTGTCAGTCTTTTCTTCAACCGCACCCACACCCACACCCAACTTAGATCATCTCATTCGATATAAATAAAAGCATTCACATTAAAAAAAAATATTTCTCGAAATATCTAATACTTTGGACTTCCCAGGTTAATGATTCCGGCATCCGGATCCGTGAATTTTCGGTAGGTTGCCGCCGGAAAGATTCCTTTTTCCTAGCGAAAAACTTAGGAAAATTGTAGGAACTTGAAAGAAAGAACTCGATGATTGGATTCGGTGGTCGAATTTTTCTTGTTCCGGGCGTAACCAGCAGAGTCGGTCACCGGATTTCTGCTTTTAAACTTCTATCATTTTCTCGAGTTTTCGGATCGGAAACAGACTGTATTTCTTGATCTGGATCTCTAGAATAAAATTAATGAAAAAATACAAGAACACAAAATTGTATATCGATTAAAAGATAAAACAAACATCACATTTGCAATCTATAAGATGCAATTTAAATATTATCTATCATTTCATCATCTAACTAAAATAATTTGTTTAATAATCAAGTCATTATTTTTCTTTCTCTATCAAAGATATTTCTTTATTGTTCATTTTTTTCTCTTATTAATAAAAATTCAGAAATTTTTATAGAATTTTACTCTAGTTACTTTTATTTTTGATTGAAATTTACTAAGCTTAAAATTTGATATGTTGATTAATAATTTACAAAGTTTTCCTCACCGGTTTTTCATGATTTCAAAGAACTCCATCAGATCTGTTTTGTTCTCTTTCATTTTAAAAGAAAATTTGCCCAAATCGATCTGGTAAATCGATTCTCTTTTTGCATAAATTGAATTCCGATATTTGATTTCGAATCAATTTTCCTATCTAAATACGTCGACAAAGCAAATAATTCCGAACAGTTGTACGAGATTAAATATGGGAAGAGACCATTGAGAAGAGAGAATGCCGTGAGCTACTAATGTGAAACGAGAATATTAGTAGACTGACTTGAAGATTTGAACAATCATTTTTTCAATTGAATCTATTATCTGAGTTCGACCTTGCTCAGTAGAAGCCACAAGAACTATTGACACGGATACTGTTGATCCAGTGGCGACTCATAGTTGTAAACTGTTTTCTGTCTTTCTCTTCAAACATTAAACATTCTCCTAGATCCCTCTTCAGTAGACAACATTTCCTATAATCGTTAAAGAATTTACTGATCATCTCTCTCATCCCGTTTTTTATGTTCATACGTATAATAATGATTGTCGATATCTTGATAATTTATTTTACTTCACTAAATCCACCGGATGTATTCTCCTAACACTTCATGCTGATATGTTAACAACGCCATATACATTCGACTGAAAATAAGATACAACTCGCTTCATTATTCTATTAATTGTTATTGAAGTAAGATGTAAAATACATAACGATAAATAATATCTACTTAGTGTAACGACCTAATATTAAGAATAATAAAAATGATTGATAATCTTTTTTTCAGAAATAACATGTAATTTTCTAATATTTTACATAAACTCATTTTCAGTTATTAGCAAGAATTTTTCGTTCTCTATAGAGGCTATATTGTTTTCTTCAGTATTCGTAGACATGTGTACGTCTATAGGAAAGAAATAAATAATAAATGAATCACTTCGAGTTCAGTACATATATATGTGAAGATAAACTAAACTATTTCTTATAAATTCCGAATGAAATTTTATTGCGTCATGTTTACAAATGAGGATATGTTTTCCTTATTTACGTGATCGCATGTTCGATAGAATATTGAATTTTTTTTATTTAGATATTATTTTATCCAAAAATATTCAACGATTTTGTTTATTGTCAATCTAATCAAATATGGAGTATTTAACCAACAACAGTGGCGTACCGAGGGAGGGGCCGAGGGGGCCCGGCCCCCCCCCCCTTGGAGAAAAATTCTTTATGGGGGAGTACGGGTGAAAAAAATTGTATCATAACTTTTATTACAAGTCCACTGCGCCCCCCCCTCCTTGAAAAATTTCTGCGTACGCCACTGACCAACAATCAAAAAACACAATTCATTATCGAAGAATTTTCAAAAATAGCAGCACAAGGTCATCAAACAATTGATCATAGAACAGCAAGTAAATACAGTTATAATCATAACAATTGAAGAATTCTTTTTCTTCTAGCATTGTTATTAGGAAAACTTGGATTTGATGTAAAAAATAGTCAAGTATCCGATTTATTGAACGATGTTGATATGCTATGTAAATAGTTTATTTTTTCTTTGTCAAATCAATTAAATTCCATGATTTTAGCGGATGGTTATATCGATCAGGATAGTATGTTATCCATCTTAGATAAGCTATTGGATAATAGACCTGAACCTGAACCTGAACCTATTCCAGTGATCGATAATGAACCGGTAAATATGAATTAATGTTTTTTTGTTTTTCTTCTCTTTAACCTGACTAAGGCCCAAACAGACTGACTTAATTCAAAGTGAATTAACCAATATAATTCGCGTTGCTATGCAAAAAGGTCAATCATGTTTCTTAATTCACTTTGAATTAGTCCGTCTGTTTGACCTCTTATCAATTATCAATTCATATATATATATATATATACATATACATATAAACCACAGAAATTTCATTTGTGTCTATTTTCAATAAGAAAAAAAAAAAGAAAACGAGGGAGAATATGTCTGAAAAAGAAAAAGTAAGAGCAAACTAAATGTGATTATAGATCCTGTTTCATATCTAATGTATGTTTTATCGTTTTTTAGGATGAAGTTCAATTGTTAAACAATTTCAAAGAGATGGTGAAGCGAATGAAAGAATTAAATGATAACAAGATTCTTGTCACGGACGAGATGTTCAAACAACTTCAACAAGAGTTGAATGTACCTGAACATCAATTAGAATAAAAACATTTGATTTTTGTATTTTTCAAAAAAAAATCTGATAGAAAAGAAAAACAAGAAAGATTTTCAAAAATGAAAAAGAAAAAATAAAAGATCTTTGAAGATGAACAATGAATTTTTATTTGAACGAAAGAAAAGTGATCTTGTTCTTTCATATGAATAACAAAAGTCGATCAAAAAGAGATTTGTCGATTAAATTAGTGTTCTTGTCAATTCTCAAATAAAAATAAATTTCGAAGAAAATTCTTCCCAATGATCATTGAACGAAAAACACTTTCATTTTCATCACATTTCAATCAATTTTCTCAAGCAAAAAGATAAGAAGAATAAAGATTTTTTCATTTTGAACACATTCGAATTAAAAACTTCCATTGAATAAAACAAACATTTCTATTCTCATCAAAATGTAGATTTACTAAAAGAATTTTTATTTGAAAAATTCTTCTCTTTTCATTTTCTAGAAGAATAGTCTTTCAAAGTTTTTACTTCAATCGAATCTCACATTTGAAACCGAATTTCAAATGAAATTAAAATTTGCTTTTTTTTTCTTTTTTGGACAATTCGTTCAAATAATTCAACTCGATTAATCTTTAATCATTATTTATAGAAATTGAGAAACATTGAAACAAAAAGATTTCGAAAAAATATCTGTATGTTCAAATGTAATATGACACCAATCATTGGTAAATGTTCGATAACATAGATTTATTCTAAGGATCATTTAAATATCAATTGATTAGGAAAACTTGAATATTGATTAATGAGAAATCTCTTTGTCATCTTTTATTCTTCAATCAAACAAATATTTCTTTTACTCAAATTTATCTCTACAAAGAGAAATGATTCGATAAATCAATCTTTGTTCTTTTCTATTTCATCAATATTTTATTCGACTTTTAGAAAGATAATTTTACAAAACTTCTCCGATATCAATACGATGAGAATAAAAAACCGATTCAATCACAATATAGAATTGCTTCTTGGAAAAAGAAAAATTTCTAGTAAGAATAAATTTATTTTGTCGACAATGACAAAATGAAGTTTGTGCGAATCTGGACATGAGGATATTTCTCTTGCACGCAATTTATTTCGACAACCAATTGATGTAAATCAAATGCATAAATAATTTGAATAAAAACAAATAAAGTATGAATTAAAATGGTAGAACAATATGAAATATCAAACAGAAGATTTTTATTGTTGACGATTTAATTTACAGCATACAAATATGTTAGTTGAATATCTTCATCATTGAATAATTAACGAGAAATTCGATCGTGAAAATAACAAACAATTCGAAATAAGAACATCACTCACCAAACAGATTTAACTATACATTTAGTTTTTTTTTTATTCATTCAAATTCACTCCTTGTATACCAATGAATATTTGTTCCCATAACAATATATACAAATACTTCGAGCAATCCTCGATTAGTACAGGTAATTTAGTGTAGAAA